ATGAGTGTTCAAATCTGAAATAAAACGCTCTAATAAAATCTCTACCTCCAGTTGTAGGTGCCATCAGCTTTTCCATCGGATTTCTGGTCCAAAATGGGCACTGGGGCAGGGTAGGTGGTGATTTTTTTGGGCCCCTCTGAGGAAATCGGCCCTGCAACTGAAGCGGTGCTTAGAGGGTCTTTCCCAATGGAAATATTTGTCGCTGGTTCCACCAGAGGAGCGTTTTCCGTGGAAATCGGCAATGGAACCTCCCCCAAATCACTTGCTACTGGGAGGCCGCAGGCGAAAGCCACTGAAGCGAAAACTAGTATAACTTTGAACATTTTTTCGGACCGCTCAAAAACCACTGTGCCGTCCCAGAGCTCCAGGCGGGGTTTTATAGGACTTCTGGCAACTTTTTTTGGTCGATTTCACCCAAAAGAAACCCGTAGATTTAAACCCAGCGAATTTTAATGGGTACTTAAGGCAAACAAACAGCACATTAGCTATTTTAAGCCGCTGGTTTAGCGGGTTTTCGAAGGGTGAACGGCCCATCATCCAAGAACCCATTAAAGATGGGTCCACTGGGCCGACCAAATGGTCCTGTTTGGGCCAACTCAGACGCAATAAATTCGCCGGGACAACCATAAAATGCTTAGAAACAAACAGCAGAAGAGATGGAAGAGTAATTTTTATAAATAGATGCTAAAAACGGAAAAAATGCGCTTAAAAGTCAAGGATGCGTCGTGTCGCTACATCTTAATACGCTTTAATGCCAATGAGACATGCATAATTCATCCTAACGGTGGTTTATGCCGCTGCAAATGGCAACATTTTCCTTGTCTGTTACAGCCAGGTTTTTGAGGAAGTTTTTGAGTAAAACACTGGAAAAGCACGTTATTAAGCTAAGTGTGGGAGTACCATCTTCCCCAAAGAATGAACTGATCCTACAGAAGAAGCTATTGAAGCATCCAGTAGGGAGAGAGGTGTGTAACATTGTCGCTTTTGCCCTACAGGGAGGTTCATTCTCCTTTGCATTCCGAATGGAATTTTCCTATCTACAACCTGATGTAACTGCTGTTTCCCCAGTGCTCCTCTAAGTGAATTTGCATGTATTCCACCGAAAAATCATCACCTTTTATGGGCTAAGAGGACAACGCAAGGTTACCGATGTACGAGACGTAATTAATAAACACATCAGTAAATAGCAAGCATCTTCGCTTCGATCCGAAGTCTGGTACAATGCAGAGAGGCTTTGAGAGATAAAACTGGCACTTTCAGCCGAAACTGATTGTTACATCAGCAATGTAATAGATTGACGATCGGTTGGCTAATCGCGGCACCACAAAGGACCATAAAAGACTCGCGCCCACTATGAAGAAGTTTCGCTGAAGTCGGTCATTCATCTTTTTTGTCATCGGCTTTTGTTGGTCGAAGAGAGCAACGCGTGTTCTTAATTTCGTCGGAATTATGCAATTTCTAGTTATTTTCTTCGTGTAGTTACACACCCATTGATATTTTTGCTTGTTTGGTGTACGCATTAGCGATTGTTGCGTCAATGGACGTCGCCGTTTTGAATAATGGGCGACGCGAAGATCATTAATAATTAACACTTGGATGAGTGGACTGTGTGGAAGCTGAGGGACGAAACTGTGTGAAAAATGTTCATTATTCACGTGGTGTAACGACGATTTGAATGAAATACATGGACTGTGGAGGAATTTATCAGTTCACGTTGGGGAGTCTGATTAGACAGCATATTTCTTCCAGGTGGTCCAAAAATATCAACAGTAATAGGAGGAGCAGGCCCAAAAAAATAGGCACAAAAGGCCACGCCTTTGGGGGATGTTACTGAATGCTGGGGCGCAGCTGATGAGTTCATAGTTTTGTAGAAACTTCGCAAGTTTTGGTTCGGCGGTTTGGCAAGTCGCATTGCAAGTCCATGCTACAGAAGAGAGTTTTTCAAAGAAAACCCTGCAGTTGCGTAACATCCGTAATTTTTTCCTTTTTCATTTTTAACTTTACTTTTTTTTTCTCATTTTTAACTTTACAATTTTCTCAAAAATCAGAATGCAGTGGGATCGGAATGGAATGTGTTCAGGTATTTAGACTCAACTGTTTTCCCCAGACTGTGAAAATTCTACGTCAATAGTTGATCCAGATGGAAAGTGAGGAATTTTTAAATAAAACGTGCAGATGCGAAAAAGCCCTCATATATAATAATAATCAATAACATAATGATAATCACAATAACTTAAACAATGAAACAAAGCTGCGAAAACAACAAAATAAACACGACACACTTTGTTGATATGACTTGCTACGTCACACTCGGGATAGGCAACCCAGGGGCGGATCTAGCTTTAAATTC